TACACATATATATACATATATATATACATATATATATACATATATAATGCTACTCAAATATCAGCGCAAATACAATTCAGTTCAACAAATACAACTTTATAAATGCTTAGCAAATATGTCAATTATATATAATTGAGTTAAATTGCGATTCTATTTTGCATTGCAGTACTAAAAATGCTTATTGTTTGTGTTATGTTTTGCAGTACATCTATAACGTTTTTTTCTTGCATTACGGTATTGGAAGTTAAAAAAGGATTGTCATGAAAATCAAGTCACTACAAAAAAAAAACAATGGTCTTTAAATGTGCTGCTTTTTTCATTATTAGTACTTTATTTGTATTATTATTTTACATTATTTTTGGGGAGTGAAATATGACCAGGGCATGTTCTTGATGGGCTTCATGAGATGCACCGATAATGAAGTAATTTCATTTTTATTTTTACACTGGATAATTTACCTGTGGAGCCGTTAATGACAAACGTATTAAAACAGCACATCATTTTTAAAATGTAAGCTTTTATGAATCAAAGGGAAAATTTTTTTATTTTACATGCATGTAAAATCAATTATAATAAAAAAAAAAAAAATGAAACAAACAAATGCACCTTCCAGGAATACACAATTAGAACACAATCTGCTCAATTGGGTCGCGGTGTCTTACACGGTACAGGCTTATTCAGGTGAATCTGGTGCTGAACCATATTCCTCGCAGATTTCATAGGTGTTTTCCTTCGGATTCCCAAATCCGATGTTGTCGTGGTGCTCTTCGCAACCTGGAAAACCAGCACACGCTTGTACATACAAACACGCTGATTAAAAGATGTGCGCACACTGGGAAAATGCAAGATCACAAAAAGACAAAGAACTACTGGGCAACTTCAACTCATCCTTTTGTTTCTCTTTATTCCTTTGTATATGTTTTTTTTTCTTCTCTGTACTGTGAATGGTAGTCTCTCTCGGACTGTATAATTGTGTATATAATTTGGGTTATTTATCATTTTAATTTTCTGTCTTTTTGTAATTTCTTTTGGTTTGTTTGCTCTTATTTTGTATTGGAGCAGAGCACAACGTGTGTAAAGTGTATGTACTTGACTCGCAGTCTAAAAAAAATGGTGCTACAATCTGTACAACTTTAGACTGTGCTTATTTATATTAAGATCATCAACAACAACAACGACAACAAAAAGAAGAAATTAATAAAGATTTTTGGTGGTGCTTTTACACAGGGATGTTTTCAAGCCTCGCGGCATTTATTTTTCCAATATTTATAATGTATTATTTGCCGCCCAGCAACAAGCAGCCCCCTGCCTGTTTGGATCAGTGGCGTTTTGATCTAGAAGAAACACCTTTTGGTCTTAATCGAATTTAAAGAAGCATGAAAGTACATTGCAGAACTTTATAGGATGATAACTTTTTTTTTTTTGAAGTGTTTACTTCAATGGTGCTCCAAAATCGACCTGTGTGACAGGTAGTGAATGCTTTGAATTATACATATGGCACACTGTTGAAACTGGTGTCATATGGCATTTTGTTTCTTAACCTTTTTGATTTCTCATAAGGAGAAAATGTGCTAAGCCTGTTTGCCTACCATCTTGGGCCCGTACAGCTCGGTGCTGTTTCTTAAAATCGTCGTTTTCTTCGCAAATGTAACGCAAACAAATCATCTTACACAAACTGGTGCTGCTGTTCACAAGGATGTCGAAAATACCAGTGAGCCCGTACCAAAACCGTACAATCCACTATCAAAGCCTGTCCTAGAGTGTGTCGTGTAACCTAGAGTTTGAGCCTATTGCATATTGTGGTGATGTGAAGTTGTTCTGATGTGACCGATCGTAGATTTGGCTAGTGTTCTGTCAGTTGGCTAGTACTAGTGGTTGACCGATATGGGTTTTCCAATGACTGTTGGTCAATAATCAATAGCATATATAGAGAATAGGCTAATATAATAACGTATATGAAATATTTGGACGTAGTTCACCCAAAAAATAAAAAAAAAGACCTGTTATTATTTACTCACCCTCATGTCGTTCCAAACCTGTATGACTTTATTCTGCGGAACACAAAAGAAAATATTTAGAAAAATGCGGGAAACTGTTTTTGTCCACACAATGAAAGTCAGTGGGGTCCAAAATTTGGACCCCATTGACTTTGATTGTATGGACAAAATTTGGGAGCGTCCCACTTGCCCGATATATCGGTCTATCACTAACTGGCGTGTAAGATTGGCGTGCAACATCGCCAACTTGAAGGCAAAGCAGGAGTGGATTTCCTCATTGTTTTGCATCCTTATTTCCTTTTATTGTGTTTTTGTTGCTCAAGTATGTGCTCAAGGAAAAATCAACCTCACCTAAGCTTTAGTGAGATGCTGTTTAATAGACTATGGTGTATAATAATAATAATAATAATAAAAATAAAAAAAAACGTGTAAATGGTCTTTCTGTCCAATTAATATGAGGACATTTTGATGAAATGGTATGTTGACCAGTACATGAGTACATTGTTACCAGCACTGAGGGTTATTATTATTATTTTTATTGGTAGTACTAGTAATTAATAGTCATTGTTAATGTTACCTGTTTTAATGGCCAATTTGTGTTTTGATATCTTT